CGGTGGTGCGATCTCTGCTCACTGCAGCCTCTACCTCCTGGCTTCAAGTGATTCTCATGCCTCAGCCTCCTGAGTAGCTGGGACTATAGGCATGAACCACCATGACTGGCTAATTTTTGTATTTTCAGTAGAGACTCGGTTTTGCCATGTTGGCCAGGCTGGTCTTGACCTCCTGGCCTCAAGTGATCTGTCTACTTCTGCCTCCCAAAGTGCTGGGATTACAGGTGTGAGCCACCACACCCGGTGTGGAATGGGCTCTTAAAATGGAGAAAGAATTGGTGAAAAATCCAGGGCATGAGAGTCAGAGAGGTCCAATCGAATCTGGGCAAGTGCCATGATTCCAAGGCGTGCAGTGTAGACTGCAGGGACAGCGTCCAGTCCTGCCTTTTACTCCCTCAGCTGCTGTTGACCCCCAGGAAAACAATGCCATTTTCATGGGCTTCGCTAAGTGGCAGTGAGCACCTGGGCGCCTGGCCAAGGCAGGGAAGGGGGCTAGGAAGAGGAGAGGGAACGGGAAAGATGGAGGAAACTGCTCTGGAGGCATCTCAATGGGCTTTGGGGGAAGGTGGGTTTCATCTCAGAATCCAAGCACATCGGGGCTGGGGAGGAGCTCTTGAGATCATTTCGGCCAACCCTCCTTGTCTGGAGGTGAGCCTGAGACCCAGGAGGGGGAAGGGACTTGCCCAAGGTCATATAGCACAGTAGTGATGGAGCTGAGCCAGAATCATAGGGTATTGGGGATGTGTGAGGTGTTACCCCTGTCTGGACAGTTTCCTATAGCACCACCAAGGGCCTGGCTAGAGATTCCTTTCCTGGACATCGTTTGTGTGCGCTCTCTCTCTCTCTCTGTCTCTTTCTCTCTGTTTGTGTGTGTGTGCCCACCCGGCGTGCCCTGTGAGTGCCTGTGTGTACCTGTGTGCATGTGTGCCTATGACTGTGTTGTGGATAGTCTGGGTGTACCTGTGGCCTCCTACATGGCGATCCACCCTGGCTCTGAGGCCGTAGGTGAGTCATCTACCCTCAGAGCCTTAGATTCCTCAGCTAAAAAATGGGGGTAATAATGCCCATCTAAAGATGTTGGTGAGAGAATTAAATGAGGGGGTACAAATGAAGCATCTAGTATAGAGCCTGCCAAAGAGTAAATAATAAATGGTTGCCATTGTTATTGTTGTTGCTGCTGCTGTTGTTAATAAAAATAATACATAAATATCCTGAACAAGTTAGGTGTGGGGGACTGGGGGTCAGGTTTTTGCTACCGTCTGTGTGAATTCTGTCACTTCTCTGGCTCCTTATCTGTAAGAGCAGGGGCTGGTACCAGCTGATCTCTGAAGCCCTTCCTGCTCTGACAGCCTCTGAGCTGTGAATAGATGGGGCTGGGGCCCTGGAGGAGTTTAATGACTCAACAGCTAAAGAGGTTAAGGCTTCCCAAGAAATCACTTTCAATTAGTGTTGGGTGAACTTAGGGCACCAGTGAAGGAAGAGTTTCCTGGCTGGGAGACCAGGGAGAGGGAGCTAGAGGAATACTTCCGGCCAGTGGAGACTGTGACTAACCAGGTGAATGACTAAGTCAGGCCTTGCCGACCTCCAGCCAATCAGGGCTGCCCATGAGTGCCCTATGAGCTGGCATCACTGAGCACGGCTTGGCTGTGTCAGGCCTGGCTGGGTCTGAGCTTCACAGCATATGGAGGGAAAGGAAGCAGCCAAGAGACCAGCAGGGAAAGAGCACTGGGCTTGGAGTCAGAAGACCCAGCTTCCCACTCTGACTCTGCTGTTCACCAGCTGGGTGACTCTGGGGGAGCTGCTTCCCCTCCCTGAGCCTTCACGCCTTCATCCGTGCAGCAGAGCCAATAATACCTGCCCAGCAACTTCACCAGGTGGTGAAGACTGAGAATCATGACATGAGATGCAAGTGCATTGTGATCACTAAGGTACAAAATGATGGGAGGTGCTGTCATTATTCCATCCTGATGGGACGTCCGGCATCTCAGAAGGAGACGCATTCATGTTTTCAGAGGAGTCAGGTGAGCACAGGCTGTTATCCTTGGGTTTGGGGCTAGAATCAGCCTAACCTAGGGCCCCTTCCACTCATCTGATCACAGTCCAGTTACGTTTTTCTTAAAGCAGAGCCCCTGTGGACAACTTCCAGCAAGGTTGCATAGCAGCAGTGGAAGGCAACATAAAGCCAGGATGGCTGGGTGGGGCAGGGAAGGAGCAGTGCTTGGCTGCGGCCCCCACAGAACCAGGGTGGTGGTCTGATGTTGTCTTTCCTCTTGCCCAGCACATTATAAATAAATAATCACTGGAACCGCACTTTGTCTGCCTCTCCCCCCATAGCTTTTAGCATCTCTCTTTGTGAGGACTGCAAGGACTTTGGGAAACAGCAGGGATGAAGGGAAGGACGCTGCCCTTTCATTTCTGCACACGTTAAACCCATCAATAGCGTTCTGCGTGTGCTCACAGCCTCTGGGTACAATGCTGGCACTTGGAGCACAAAGATAGGAACTGCAGGGTCCTGCTCATGTGGTGGTTAAGTACAGTGTGACCAAAGAGACAAAACACTTCCCCTATAATGTAAATAACCACTCAGAAGAGCCCACAGTGTGTCACCAGATCATCCTGACAGTGAGACCTGCAATTGTGCAGAGCAGTGGCCTGGGAGGCTTTGAGGAGGAGGTGGAATTTGAGCTGGACCTGGAAGTTTAGCATGGACAAGATACACGGAAGGTGGAACTGGGTGCAGTGGCTCTCACCTGTAATCCCTGCACTTTGGGAGGCCATGGTGAGATCACTTGAGCCCAGGGATTTGAGGTTGTACTGAACTGTGATTACACCACTGCACTCCAGCCTGGGTGAGACAGAGTAAGACCCTGTCTCTCAAAGAAAGAAAGAAGAAAAGAAAGGAAAAGAAAAGAAAAAGGACAGAGAAAAAAGCATGACAGACAGGTATACTTATGATATTCTCAGAGGACAGGTTGGCAGCTGTTAAGAGGGATCACGTAAGAAGTGAGAAGTGAAGTCAGACATGGAGGTTGGAGCTAGATATGGAGATCCTCAAAATTTGAGAGGAGCATAGACCAGATTCCAGGGGCAGTGGAGAGCCCTGAGGGCTTCCAAGAAGGGAATTGGTTTGGTGACAGCTGAGATTTTCTTTCTGGCAACATTGTCCAGGGGAGCATGGCTTGTTGCGCGGTAGGCAGGGAGGTCAGTTGGGAGGTTACTGTGGAGCTGGGGACCATGGGCCTGAGAAGGAAAGGGGACACACATGCGAAGGCTTGATGTGTGGAAAAGAAGGATAGGGAGGGTCCGAGGATGCTCAGTCTGATTTGTCTGATTCTTCAGACAGCTAAACAGCTACTGAAACCCTAGCAAGCGGTAGCGGGGTGTGAGAGTGGAGGAGACTGCAGACCAAACCTGGGCTGGTCGTTTTCAGGAAGTGGGCTCCTCTTTGGGCAGGCCTAAGTCTGATCATCCTACGCTAAACTCACAGGGTCAGCAGGACCCAGAGGTGCCCCAGCTGGGCCACATCCACTCCCAGGGTCATTTCCTCCCTCTTCCAAGAGAAGAATCCAGAAACGACACAGCATAGCTCCCCATGGTCCCCAGGGAGCAGTAGGTTCTTGGAACAGTGTCCTGCAGTGGACAGTGTCTAGTCCTGCCTTTTACTCCCTCAGCTCCTGTTGACCCCCAGGAAAACAATGCCGTCTTCATGGGCTTCGCTAAGTGGCAGTGAGCACCTGGGCGCCTGGCCAAGGCAGGGAAGGGGGCTAGGAAGAGGAGAGGGAACGGGAAAGATGGAGGAAACTGCTCTGGAGGCATCTCAATGGGCTTTGGGGGAAGGTGGGTTTCATCTCAGAATCCAAGCACATCGGGGCTGGGGAGGAGCTCTTGAGATCATTTCGGCCAACCCTCCTTGTCTGGAGGTGAGCCTGAGACCCAGGAGGGGGAAGGGACTTGCCCAAGGTCATATAGCACAGTAGTGATGGAGCTGAGCCAGAATCATAGGGTATTGGGGATGTGTGAGGTGTTACTCCTGTCTGGACAGTTTCGAATAGCACCACCAAGGGCCTGGCTAGAGATTCCTTTCCTGGACATCGTTTGTGTGCGTTCTCTCTCTCTCTCTCTCTCTCTCTCTCTCTCTCTCTCTCTCTCTCCCTCTCCCTCTGTCTCTTTCTCTCTGTTTGTGTGTGTGTGCCCACCTGGCGTGCCCTGTGAGTGCCTGTGTGTACCTGTGTGCATGTGTGCCTATGACTGTGTTGTGGATAGTCTGGGTGTACCTGTGGCCTCCTACATGGTGATCCACCCTGGCCTGGAGAGGAGAACTGGGGTCATGCCTGTGAGGTGATTGTTTTGCTGGGACAGAAGAGAAGAAGGCTGACAAGGCCGGATCTGGCTTCCCGCACCAGTTCCGCCGCCCTGAGAAAATCACAGGCACTGACTGGTGGCGAGCAAACTCCTGGAGCTGGAACACGCAGACACATGCACACTCGCAGCCGCCGTTATAGGGTGGCCCCGGGTGCCCCGAAGTGCCGCATTCCGGCATCCTCATGCCTCCCCGGAGTCCAGCAGGTGTAGACCCGCTAGGCTGTGGAAGCTGATCCGCAGGGAAACGGAGCAGTGGCGCGCTCCCGCCGCTCACACTCAGCGCCCTGCTCCAGGGCCTGGCCCGGCCACACCCCTCCCGCCCGAGCCTCTGCCGCCGTCCCTGCCCCTCTCACACACTCCGGAGTCCCTGGGGGGCCTCCGCAACCTGGCAGGGCCAAGTTAGGGCTGGCCCGGCCGGATAGTCAGGTCCGGAGCCAGGAATCGACGCCTCCCCGAGTCCCGTCTCCGCGGAGCAGACGCGCCAGGCTGAACTCGGGTTTCTGCGAGCGCGGGGTTCGGCGCGCAGTCCCGCACGGGGGAACCCCCGCCCCCAGCCCCAGCCCTCCCGGGACGACCCTGGGAGCCCCGCGCCCAGCCCCGGGTTCCCGCCCCCCGCACCGCGCCCGGCGAGCGGTTACCGATGGTGGTGATGACGGTGATGGCGAAGTAGAAGGAGCCGGCGAAGCGCCACTGCACGCCGGCCTTGTGCGGCTTGAGGCGCAGCACGACGCGCTCCAGCTCCTCGTAGCCGCCCTGGCTGAGGTTGTAGCGCTCCCGCAGCTCCTGCTGCCGCAGCTCCAGCCGCTGCCGCTCGATCAGCTCTGGCTCCGACTCCAGCGCGTCGAAGACCGCGGCGCCCACCAGCAGGTAGGTGAAGGTGCACACGATGAGCGCCAGCGTGCGCACGTTCTGCCGCTTCATCGTCCCGCCCGGGCCGCCGCCGGCCCCCCGGCGCCCCCGGCCCCGGCCGCCGCTGCTGCTGCCCCAGAGGCGGCCTGGGGCATGGCTGCGCTCGCAGCTCTCCGCGCCGGGCACTCGCTCCGCGCCCGGGGCCGCAGCCGCCACTGCCGCCGCCGCGGAGCTGTCCCTTCAGCACCACCCACCAACCTCCTCCGCCCGGCCCCGCGCCCGCCCCCCGCCCCCCGCCCGCAGGCCTCCTCCTCCCGCCAGCCCTCCCGCCCAGCCAAATAAGGACTGGGAGACGCGCCGAGGAGGGAGGAGGGGGGCTGGCGGAGGGGACGGGAGGGGCGGCCGCGGGAAGCCCGGGCAGGACAGAGAGAGAGAGAGAGAGAGAGAGAGAGAGAGAGAGAGAGAGAGAGA